AAAAACAATGGAGGATAAGCGAAAACATTTAGACTTTGAAGTTGTTAGCGATGAAACTAGATATATGAAGTGTAAGTAATCCTAACTTCAAACATAGTCATATCATTAATGAAAATTTGGTTGGAGTTGAAAAGCAAAAACAAAGTTGAAACTAGACAAACCTATATTTATTGGGATGAGTATTTTAGATTTGAGTAAGCAACACATGTATAAATTTTATTGTGACGTTATGAAACCTAAATATGGAGATAATATTAAAATGGTATATACTGATACTGATAGTTTTGTATTTCATACTAAAACCAATGACATTTATGAAGACCTGAATACAGTTAAAAAAGAAATAGATTTTTCGGATTATCCTAAGGAACATAAATGTTATGATGAGAATAACAAGAAAGTATTAGGGAAATTTAAGGATGAGTTAAAAAGTAAAATAATAACAGGGTTTATAGCCCTTCGTCCTAAATGCTACGCTTACTCAGTTTATGGTGATGAAAAAGAATATAAGAAATGTAAGGGCATAGCAAAAGGCACAATAAGACGTCAAATGAAATATGAAGAGTTTGAGACGGTTTTAAAAACTAATGAGGTTATACATAAGTCATTTAATAGTATTAGAAGTAAAAGCCACATAATTTTAGTAGAACAACTAAAAAATTGCTCTTAGTAGTTATGAAAACAAAAATATTGGATAGATAGTATAAACTCACTTGCTTATGGCCATTATAAAACAAATTCTTTGAAAAAGACTTGAATAAATATTGGCATAATATATTCAGATAGAAATGAGTGATACAGAAAGTGAATATAGTGAATATAGTGATATAGAAAGTGTGTATAGTGAATTTAGTGATACTGTCCATGAAGATATTGATGTTGAAAATATATTGAAACAAACGTTTTTGAATTACAAATGTAAAGACTGTGAGATGCTAAAGTTAACAATTCAACAGGGTTTTATAGATGGTGTTAGTAATATTTGTCAATATATGATATGCAATAACTGCAATAGAATTATAAACAAAATTGATTATATGAATAACAGAGATTTTGATACTAGAAATGCTGAAACTCTTGATGATGATTTAGAAATATTTGTGTTTATTGAAATGAATAAGTTCTTTACTGAAAAAGAATTTGATAATGTATTAGACAATGGATATGTGGATGGTTTTATTTATATGTATTATAGAATGGTAAAAAGATTATACAATATGTCTTTTAGCATTAAACATTTAAAATACGAAGCATTGAATGATAATGACTTTGAGTTTGTAAATCAGTTTTTAAATTGTCAGTATGAAGCTCACGAACTTAGATACACAGCAAGACATGCAATTAGTGTAATGAAGGTGTTTATAAAAGAAATAGGAAATAATATTTATAATGAAAAACAGTTGATAAAAGAATGGAACGAATTGAAAAAGAATTTTAAAATTAAGTAGAAATGGAGTTGAACTCATAATATAATTATAACATGTAAAATCTTATATGTTATAATTATACTATACTTATGGTTTGTAAAGATTGAATTATTATATTTTCTTAATTTTCTTGTGTGCTTTGACTGTTTGGTTTTGTGGAACTATTAGGTGAAATGTGTTTTAGTCATATGTTTAAGTCTGAGTGAAAAATTCGCGAACAATGAATAAGGTAAAAAGAAAAATGAAGAATAACTGGAGTTTCTGAGAATTGGAAAAAGACTTAAAATACAAAATGAATAAGGGTAAACAAATAGTAAAATGAAATAGGTTAAGTAGTGAAAAAATAATGACTAAGGTGTGTATCTTTTCTAGGAATTACTTAGAATGAATAAGGTTGTGATTTATTAACCTTGTCTATTATTTGATACTTGGTTTTTCAATGTGTTTTTTCATTGCTTGATAGAAAAAATGGTAAAATGATTTTCAGTTCCTTCAAATCCCCTTTTACTATTTTTTTTGGGGGGGGCCACGTACGACGTGGTGATTTGAAGACGCTTCTTGTGCGGGCTTGCGCAACTCAAGTTTGTCAAAAACATTGGGGTGTTCGATTCCCCCCTGGTGCGCTTTCGCATCCTTAGCAGCTCCAGCGGCACATCGCCAGCATCACCTGCATCATCCGCATCAGCGCCTGCCAAGGATGAGGATGATGCAAGTGATGCTGGGGATGTTGCCCATGCTGGTGAAGGAAATGAAGGGGGGAAAGGGGGAAAGGATCTCAACAGCGAAAGGGGGGGAAAGATCTCAGGGAGGAAAGGGAGAAGATCTGAAAAAAAAAATGCCTTAAGGGGGAAAGGGGGGAAAAGATCTTTGGGAGGAAAAGGGAAATCTTTCTCGGGGGAACAGGCCCTAAGGGGCAATGGGGGGACAGGATCTCAAAACTTTGGGAAGAGAGGGGTGGAGATCTTGGGGGGGAAAGGCCTTAGGGGGGAAACGGGGGAAAGGATCTTAAGCGGGAAAGGGGGGAAAAGATCTTAGGGAGGCAAAGGGAGACGAACTCAGGGAAAAGGACTTAGGGAGGAAAGGGGGGGAAAGATCTTTGGGAGGAAAAGGGAGAAGAACTGAGGGTGGGAAAAGGCCTTAGAAGGAAAAGGGGGGAAATAAATGATCTCAACAAGGAACTGGGGGGGGGGAAAGATCTTAGGGAGGAAAGGCAGAAGATCTGGGGCAAAAAGGCCTTAGGGGGGAAAGGGGAGAAATGATCTCAACAGGGAAAGGGGTGGAAAAGATCTTAGGGAGGAAAGGGAGAAGATCTGGGGAAAAAAGGCCAACAGGGAAAGGGGGGAAAAGATCTTAGGAAGGAAAAGCGAGAAGCTCTCAGGGGGGGAAAGGCCTTGGGAGGGAAAGGGGGGAAAGGATCTCAACAGGGAAAGGGTGGGAAAGATCTTAGGGAGGAAAGGGGGGGGGAAGATCTTAGGGAGGAAAGGGAGAAGATCTGGGAGAAAAGGACTTAGGGGGGAAAGCCCAACAGGGAAAGGGGGGAAAAGATCTTCGGAAGGAAAAGGGAGAAGCTCTCAGGGGGGGGAAAGGCCTTAGGGGGGAAAGGGGGAAAAGGATCTCAGCAGGGAAAGGGGGGGAGGGGGAAAGATCTTAGGGAGGAAAGGGAGAAGACGGAGGAAAGGGAGAAGATCTGGGGGAAAAAAGGCCAACAGGGAAAGGGGGGAAACAATCTTAGGAAGGAAAAGGGAAAAGATCTGGCAAGGCCTTAAAGGGAAGAAGGGAAAGGATCTCAACGGGGAAAGGAGGCAAAGGATCTTAAGGAGGAATAGGGAGAAGATCTCAGCGGGGGGAAAGGCCTTAGGAAGGAAAGGAGGGAAAGGATCTCAACAGGGAAAGGGGGGGAAAGATCTCAGTGAGGAAAGGGAGAAGATCCCAGGCAGGGAAAAGGCCTTAGGGGGGAAAGGGGGAAAGGATCTCAACAGGGAAAGGGGGCAAAGGATCTTCGGGAGGAAAAGGGAGAAGATCTGAAAAGGCCTTAGGGGGAAAAGGGGGAAAGGAGCTCAACAGGGAAAGGTGGGAGAAGATCCTAGGGAGGAAAAGGGGGAAGATCTTGGGGGGAAAGGGGGAAAGGATCTCAACCAAGGGAAAAGATCTTGGGGAGGACAAGGGAGAAGATCTCAGAGGGGGAAAGGCCTTACAGGGAAAGAGGGGAAAGGACCTCAACAGGGAAAGGGGGCAAAGGATCTTAGGGAGGAAAAGGGAGAAGATCTTGGGGGGGAAAACGCCTTAGGGGGGAAAGGGCGGGAAAGGATCTCAACAAGGAAAGGGGGGAAAAGATCTTAGGAAGGAAAAGGGGGAAGATCGCGGGGGGAAAAAAGGCCTTAGGGGGGAAAGGAGGGAAAGGATCTCAACAGGGAGAGGGGGGAAAACATCGTAGGGAGGAAAAGGGAAAAACTCAGAGGGAGAAAGGGCCTTAGGGGGGAAAGGGGGAATGGATCTCAACAGGGAAAGGTGGCAAAAGATCTTAGGGAGGAAAAGGGAGAAGATCTCAGGGGGGGAAAGGCCTTAGGGGGGGAAGGGGGGAAAGGATCTGAGCAGGGAAAGGGGGGGAAAGATCTTAGGGAGGAAAGGGAGAAGATCTGGGGGCAAAGGCCTTAGGGGGGAAAGGGGAGAAATGATCTCAACAGGGAAAGGGGTGGAAAAGATGTTAGGGAGGAAAGGGAGAAGATCTGGGGGAAAAAAGGCCAACAGGGAAAGGGGGGAAAGATCTAAGGAAGGAAAAGGGAGAAGCTCTCAGGGGGGGGAAAGGCCTGAGGGGGGAAAGGGTGGGAAGGATCTCAACAGGGAAAGGGGGGAAACAATCTTAGGAAGGAAAAGGGAGAAGATCTGGAAAGGCGGGGGAACACATCTTAGGGAGGAAAAGGGAAAAAATCAGAGGGAGAAAAGGCCTTAGGGCGGAAAGGGGGAATGGATCTCAACAAAGAAAGGGGGGCAAAAATCTCAGAGGGGAAGGGGGCAAGGGGACAATTCCAAAGGGACGCAAATAAGAAAACAGGCCTGTAATGTCGGCGGCTTGAGCCGGAGGCGTTAAAATATATATATATATATATATATATATCATATATATATATATAGATATGTGTGTGTATGTGTATATATATATATATGTGAACATATGTATAACTATTATATATAAATATGTGTGTGTGTGTGTGCTCGCTGTATGTGCCTTCTGGTCCTCCTCCGGTGTGGGCTCGCCGGTCACCAGGCAGGCGTTGAAGCGCTGCACTACTTCCCCCGGCAGCTTCTGCGCCATGGCGGAGTCGTCGAACATGGCGACCCCCAAGGCGCTCAGGGCGTCCATGGCGACGAGCGGAGCACGGGGCGCTCGTAGACGACGAGGCGAGGGTTGTGGAGTCTGGGGCTGCACGGCTGAAGAACGACCTAGCAGTAAGAGGTAAGGCAAACGGATCACATGTCGTAAAGCAATGAAAGCGTGAGCGATCCATGTTCAAGGCTTCCCTGCTGATTCATGCGTGCAATGCCACCCTCTGGTGTCACTCGGAGCAGGCGCACCCAGGTCCAGCTTGCCACAACACTCTGCAAGGCCACGCTGGGAAGGTGGCAGAAATACGCAGGCCTCGGAGACGACATGAATTCTGGCTAGTCGGGTGATCTGTCTGAGCTTTTAGGCCCGTGAAAAAGGGGACAGGTCGTATAACTAGCGTGACCTGGACCCTGAAGCAAGCTTCAAGATGAGAATGCCAAAGCCGGATTAGAAAAGACTAGGGAATACGGTTTGCTAAGTGAGGACATGTCAACTCTGAAGGTTTTAGCCATTGAAGAAAGACTATGCATCAGTCTGTCAAGCTAATTCGCTTGGCCATCAGTCACTCCAGCCAAGCTTTTCTGGGGCAAGCTCCTTTGTAAATCTCACGTTCAAGATCGCCTAAGTAGGACATAGGAGGGCTACGGGGTGTCAGACCCCCTCGAGGCCAGCTCATCTTTGGCCGGCGGATCAGCCAATCCAGGCCTGAGCGCGACTAACTTGGACACCCTTCAGCCCTGAGCACACACCAAAGTGTCCATACGTAAAGTGTGCTGTGTGTGTGTGTGTGTGGGTGTGTGGGTGTGTGGGTGTGGGTGTGGGTGTGGGTGTGGGTGTGGGTGTGGGTGTGGGTGGGTGTGGGTGGGTGGGTGGGTGGGTGGGTGGGTGGGTGGGTGAGTGGGTGGGTGGGTGGGTGGGTGGGTGGGTGCGTGCGTGCGTGCGTCCGTCCGTCCGTGGGTGGGTGTGTGGGTGTGTGGGTGTGTGTGTGTGTGCGTGTCAGTTTCCCGGACATTTGCGCGCCATGTCCAGCACACAATCCTTTCTGGGGCGGCCTCGCTGCTGCGTCCAGAAACTCGTGGCAGGGACCAGCTTACACCCTGCGAATCCGCTCGAATATCTACGCAAAGATCCGAGGCACCAGCACAAATAAGAGGTCCTCCAAGTCCTTCTTCAAGTACGCCAAGGCCACATCCTGCCAGCTCAAACTTGCGCTTTGACAGCATCGAAAATACACCGCTTCAATCTGCTTGGCACTTGTCAGTGCAAACAAATGGCGCAAAGCATAAAGAGAGGTGCCAAATCTTCAATCCATTTGTTGCTGAAAGCATGCGGGAAGCAACGCCCTTCCTGAGCACCCATTGCAAATGCCAATCTTAACAGGTCCTGCCCATCTTCGGCCATTTTGCACAGACGTTCCAAGTCTTGGTACCTGGAAGGCTTAGCGCAAATCAATACTTCAAAAACTGATAAAGCTACATTTGATGGGCAATCCGCAGAGCTCAGACTGGCTAAGCTGCTTCATCAAGATTCCTCGCCGCAAGCAAGCTTAGGTACATGCCAGCTCACTCATTTAACACATTCTTGCCCACCAGCCCCCAAAGCAAGCAGCAAGCTGCGCACGCATGCAGAAGCGGAGCCGGGTTGTCTGCAGTGGCCTCGGCAAATTCCCAAAAGCCACGCCCTCGCAGATGAGAGTAGGGCAGGATACACATTGTGGCACATGACGGCACAAGAAAGGCCAGGTGGGTAACCCAGCAAGGCAAACAAGAGCCGTGGAGATTCAATGCCTGAGCACTGGATCAGTGTCCCAAGCTCTGGGCAACACCGCGTCTATTTCCAACTTCTGCATTTGCATGCTTTCGTGTGGGGAGGGGAGAGCCTTTCAACGTGACTGGGTGCATTCCACCAGCTGCACCTGACAAGTCACACCATGAACAGTGTCAAAGGACTTTCTTCTTCTTTAGATCCCAAAAACCTCACATTGGGCCTTGTTTGGGGCTGGCCCAGCCAAAACCCTCAGGCAATCTCCGCGTGCAAAAGCCTCAAGGCTCGAGCCTTGGCTGCTGCCGAGCGGAGCCGCGCTTGCACCTTGGCAAAGGAACCAAAGAGGAATGTGTCATGCAAGCAGGTCATTCCGCAGGTTCTGCGAATATATGTGACACCCATTTGATGCGGAGAATGAAATGCCCCTAGCCCATGCAAACCTACCTAGCAAACTGCGACAATGACAAAACACACATGCTTGCAAAGCTGCATCACCCAGCCCAACCCAGCAACACTGCATTCAACATAATTGGCCCTTGCAAATGCCAAAGCCTCCCGACAGGTCCCGAACAACAATTCTGAAGTGGCTTCTTGAAAAAGAATCAACGGCATTTACAGCAGCATCAATAGAGACCACAAGGTCACCCGTTATGTGAGCACTTGGCTCCACAGCCGTTAGCCGCACCGTATAGCAGCAACACCAAGAATGCTGCAACGACGACACCAGAACCATTGCTTTTCGTTTCTTGCTGCTGCCACTGCTGCTGGTGTTAAAACTTGGTCAGCTGTTGCTACAACTTCTACGCCCACGACTGCAGCAAGGAGGTACTACAACAAGGCCATGAGCACTACCATTCCTGCTACTGAAGAATGAAACTAATGCGACGACAACAAGCATTAGTACCACTACCGCTACTACTAGGACCCACTACAACTGCTACTACTACTGCTTCTACTACTACTGCTACTACGACTAAAACTGCAGCTGCTACTACTACTCCTACTACTACTACTACTACTACTACTACTACTACTGCTACTACTACTGCTGCTGCTACTGCTACTGCTGCTACTGGTATGGCTGGAAATTACACTATTGTTACTGCAACTATTCCTACTACGTGAAACTCCAGCTGGCGGACACTTAGCTGAACGCACGCGCCTCCACCGAACTCAGGAGTGGAACGCCCATCACTTCCACGAAGAAAAGCTGAAGGCCGGGGTAGTGAGCCTGTCAAGCTGGATGTACCCAAGCGTCGGCCCGGCCGATCAAAAGGCTTAAAAAAAGGTGCCCCGGCCTGCAGCGATGCGAATCTCACCTCCGCTGTGGATGCCACATCCAGCCACCTAAGCAGTTGCTGGAGCAAGAGACGTAAACCTGGGGCCAACCCTTGGTAGAAATAGATTACCCTGCAAAGATTTGCCACACCAGGTTGGGACGCGTCCAAATCCGCTGCTTGCCAATGCTTGGCAATAAGAATAACAAAATTTCCAAACACTGTCATCGCTGCAATGCTCACAGCAGGGGTTCGGAAAACAGGATTGAGATCAATAGACTAGAAGAGCTGAATCATATTGGTTTTTATGCACCCACCATTGGAAGCATGCAAGGCGTGGTCGCTCTGCAAACATTTTGCCTCTCTCACTGAGTCAGCGCCAATCGCTCGCTATCAGGAGCAGTTGCTTTGGGCGCTGATCTGCAGCACATCCGCCTCAAAATGCCTGGCAGCAAAAGTGCAGCTGGTGATGCGCGCCTGCAATACACAACCAGTGGGCCTACATGCCCTGCCAACTTTGCTGAGCAGGCTACGGTTCTACATGGTGACAAGAGTGGAGGTCAATGGGCAAACGCCTCTGAGCTTCCATTCGGAATGGGCTCTTCAAGCTTCGACATCTCTACACCTACTCCATACCCATAAGCCTCTATTCCGGCTTTGCTCCCTCCCGCCTCCAAGCCTCAATGCCTCTAAGCCTCTTCACCCCTCTGTTTGTAAGCCCATCTGCGGGGGCATTTTAGGAACTGTCCTCGGGAGCTGTCCTCCTGTACGGTCTTGTATGATTATGTTGGGTGAAGGTTGGCCCAGACTTTGGCTCAGCCCCCTTAAATATTCCTTATATCTCATGTGGTGTTATGGTGTGGCCGTGGCAGCTGCTCAAATGGCTCGTGTGCTTATCATCCGCGGCTTTTTGTTCCAACAATGAACGCTTCTGCCTAGGCCTAGAGGCTTAGACAGCTGGGTGCCTCTTTTTGATGTGTACCTGCTGTACCCCTTCCTACTGCAATGCGATGTTAAACGTGCTACTTAAGGAAGCCACACCTCTGACACATGCAAGCATCAGCAAACATGGACATGCTGAAGGCACTGCATCACTCTAAACTGTACCGGGACGAGCCGCATAGTGCCAACATTGGCAGCAGAAAGCATCCTGCAAGGACCTCCAGAAGAACCTGCAGGGCTCAAGGGTTTGCCACAATGGCCACGCAGGGGTTAAACTCTTGGGCCAGCACAACAAGCGTGGGGTTGCTGAGTCAAAGTCGCAGAATTTGCGGAGGCTCTCACTGGAAAGCATTGGGAAGACTGGGAGACGGCAACGCTTGGAGCTGCGGACCTGACAACAGAAGTTGATTGTCGGCCCCAGATGTCAATGTTGTTGTCACTGCCGCAGCGCTCCAACGTTGAGATTGAGGGTGGGGGAGCGTGGTTCCAATCTCACAACCCCATAGATGAACATTGCTAACACCTCGCACGGCGAAGAAATGATACGTGCCATGCCGCACCCATGTTCTGCTGGCCGGCTTAGAAACTTGTCATGGGTCATGTTGCAAAGAAAAGATGCCTTGGCCTCAAAGCAGCTGGGCCGAATCACGCAAACACTTACCATCTTCCTACATCTGCCAGCCTGCCAGCCTGCCAGCCTGAAACTGGTGCCCCAACCTTATTGCTGTTGACCCCTCTGCAAAAAGGTTTTTTTTTTTCTTTTTTTTCTTTTTGTGGGTTTAGTGGAAAACCCCCTCGTTTCCCAAAACATTAAAGTTCAAAGATCCAACCCAATCGCAGGCAAGACTTCCCCCGTCCTGCCAAAGCTCCCGCGGCGGGCAGCCAGAGCTGCACAGCAGGGTCTTGCACGTGCACTGCTCGATGAAGGCCTTCCAAGATCGGTGCCGTGCGCCATGCCGTGGACTGGCCGCTGGTTGCATGGCATCAACACCACCTATGAGTCATGAGTCATGAGTCGGGATTGACATGGCCTAGGACCAGGGAAAGAATCCCAAGGGCGGAGATCAGCACTCTATGGCTGGGATTGTCCCTTGCTGCCCTCCAATTACCCGAGTTTCGATTGTGACTCATGTCCTGTGTGAGACCAGCCAGACAGGGCAAACCTGGCTGGCACTGCTCGGGGCAGCAAGTAGAAAACACGGGTTTGCGCCGTAGCCAGTAGGCAGAGCCACATTTGGCTCGAATGATCGGTCCGTTTTCTGCGGATATTGGCAGAGGCTTGCGATCCCGAGGCGTGCAAAGGGCAGCACAAGCAACTCCAGACTCGCCTCACTGAAGCCGCTGCTGCCGAGGCTATCCAAGAAGGCTGAGGTGGTGTCATTCAGGGACCAGCCTGGCGATGTCACATGCCCGAAACGAGGAAAGGTACTGTGGAGCCTGCGCAAATTCAGTGCTGAGACCCAAACTTACCACTTGCTCCGTGCATGTTGCGGCAAAGTGCAAGCACCCCAATATACATTCGGACCAATCGCTAAGTGACTAGTGGAAAACCATGACAACGGCTGTGAACTTCACGTGCAAATGGCTGTTCGGGTCCTCCAAGCGCTGCTGGCTTGTTTTGGCGTCGGCGTTGCTTCTTTTGCAAAACAAGGCCAGCTTCCGTGGAAACAAGTTCATCTAAATCGGTCAAAAACATGTCGAGCCAAGCCTCCTGCTCTTAACAACTAGTAGGCTAAGTTGTGGATTGCACTACTTTTTATTGTACCCACATCTGCTTGTACTAGCCTATTTCACTTCACCGCTTTCAGCGAAAGTACCGCAACTTTCCAGGCCACTCTTACCACACCGAAAACAGCCGGCCTTGGCCCGGTCCTTCTTGCAAGCGAATGTCGAAGTAGCTTGCGCCCTCTGTGATGCAGTGGCCTCGACTGGCATTTTCAGCCCAAGCCTTGCCAAACTCAAACTGTTGTTGCAAGAATCCCACCAGAACTCAATGGCTCACTCCAAAACGCTTGAACAAAAGGCGGCACGGCGCGTGTGCTCGAGGTGCCACAGTCACTTCACCAAGGCGCCGAAGCAGCTGGAGGCGAAGACTGGCCGTTCCGCCTGGCACGGGTGGACCACGGACCTTGGCCTCCCGTGGAAAAGGCTGCGTCCCAAAGGCAAACAAGGCCAAAGAAACATGTGGCATACCGGGAACAGGCTGGTCATAAAAAGGCTTTCAAAAGCAGCCCCCAGCGGCTTGCAGAATGGAAACCACTTGCAGTCTTACAACGACGTTGCGGTTGCGTGCCTCTTGCGCCCACCGCTGCAGGCTATGTTTCAAGCCGCTGCGTAGCCCGGCCATGACCTGGTCAGTGAGAAAGGTGGCTAGCAAACCGCCCCAGGGCGGTTTAAGCCGAGAGGTTTCAAACCTCAGTGCCAAAAGCCGATTCCTTGCGCCGTTGCAATGATTCGGAAGAGTTCCACGAACCCACGGTCAATATTTGTTGGGCATGGACATCTGCTAAGTATAACGAATCCTCCTTTCCCAGTGGTCATTTGGCTAGTGTCCCCAATGCCACTCGCTTCACTACAAGTAAGTGACCGTGATGCGCACGTGAGGCTTCATCCCCGGAACGAAATGTGGAAAATATTACATGCCTTGCAGCATCTTGCATTGATACTTTGGCACACGCACATTGCGCAAACATGGGGGGAAAGCCTCACCATTGGAAAAGGTGCTCTTACAAGCGATGTACCATCTTATGGAGATCCCGGCTGGAAATTGAGCTTCAATCTAGTTGGCTGTGCTGCTGGTAATGCCATGGATGTCATGGACGCCATGGATGCAATAGATGCCATGGCTACAATGCAACACAACATAGGCAAGCAGGCCGTTCGGCACTGCGCCTCCAAGTCTTGTCGGCTGACAGGACCGCCCATCGGGCCACCGATGTACAAAGTGTGGTGGCTCTTCACCAAGTGGTCGAACTGGAAATAATCGTTCAGCCTCGTGCACTCAGCATCGTATGCGACCATTGTCCCGACCAACAAATCACATCACTGCGAGGTTTACGCCCAACAGTCCCTAGCCAACAGTATCCGACCATTCCCTTCGGCCGCGCGGTTCCCTTTGCAAAAAAAACCTAAAAACTCCTCGCGCCGAAGCCAAGCAACTGCTGGGCCAGCAGGACAGGCATCTCCAGGTGCATTCCAAGCGCTGGCCCAAAGAAACATTGGAAGCCGCTGTCGGGCGCCGCACCTGGCAGCGCCCAAGGAGTCTGATAACTGTCACAAAGCGACTTGCGGCGTGTAGGGTGCTAGGCAACTCCGGTCGCCCAACTGCTGTTCACCCCCGCACTTGCCGGGGGTTGGAATCTTCCAGGTCAAGACATGTTGGCAAAGACCGAACCAAAGGTCTTCCAAAGACAGGTTGGGCGGTGTGAACCACCGTCAACACCTGGCAGTCCGTCACTTCTTAGATGGCGCCTTGGCAGCGCCTCAGCGCCAAGGCCAAACTGCTGGAGCGCCAGAGCTGGCCTGAGGGACCACTTGAGCGCTTTTTGCACCAAGCTGAATTCGGTGCTCTAGGCTTTGTGCCTCCATCTGGGGTAGCATCAACAGGGAGCACAACCATACAATACATGTGCTCTTGAATCCAAGAAATGACGCTCCCAACGACTTCATGTCGACCTGCTGCAAAGATGTAAAGCGTTTAAATGCGTTTAAGCATTTGCCCACTGCCAATGCAGGGAGTTTGTGCCCCAGAAAGTTGTTCTACCTCTTTTTGCTGATCTCAAGCGGTCTCATTTCACTTGGTCTGAATTTAACCCCCCCCCAAAAAAAAACAACAACAAAAAAACGGAGCCTGCCCTCATGCCATCCATCCGGGGTCCAAGGAGCTGCCCTGTTGGGTCACGTGCTGCAGTGCGGAGGGCCAGGTGTTGGACCCGACGTGGACGCCTGGGAGCTGAGCGAAGGTCTCCAAGTGCTTGTTAAAAAACTTGTGGCTGTGGCTCACATGAAACGCCTGGGGTTACGCCTTCTCCTTCGTGTTTTTGGGGCCTTCTCCTTCTTTCCCCCTCCCCCCAATAAATTGCCGCGTCGAACAAACACTGTGCGCTATCGGCTCCATGCTTGAATCGT